TACCACCACACTATCATCATCCGCGTAGGCCACAAACTCCACTCCCGGCGGCACTCCCAATCTCAGCACTCCGTCGTAGGCAATATTCCATAGTATTGGCCCCAGCACCGAGCCCTGCGGCACTCCTCCGTTGGATTCAAAAGTATACCTCCTCCCTGTCGGCAGTTTAACTGTGTTCCTCCTATTGGTGAGGTAAATATATCAGTTTTCTTAAGTATCTAGGCGTATTCTTTTTCCCTAGTTCCTCCATAATGACCCTCGTCGGATGTAAGGGTTTTTCGGTGGGCATGCGGGTAGCTGCAGTCGTGCCCCAGAGTCTCTAAATAAAACTTATTTACACACCAGTTTTCTTTTATTTTGGACACCGTGTATCTACACCACAGAATACAGAAATAGTATTTAGTTGGTATCCCTGGTTTTGTTGTCGATACTGTAGTATTCTGCTATGCCGTTGCCTCAGTTTGCGGTCTTAGACCATATAGTACATGGACTGCTAATTGTAACTAAAATATGGTCAAGGACATCGCCTGGGTATGTGCGTTTCAGGGTAAACGAGTCTGTCCGAAATTGTCCGTTGAGACACGATTTGAGGCTGTCAACCTATAAATTCACAAACGTCAATTAATTAATAGTGTAGATATGGCAAAAAAAGCAAACCTATTCTTATTTGTGGACGTATAGAAGATAATCAGGAGTATTTAAAGCTTCCCGTACTACGCCGTTACCATAAAAGTTACTATTTACGCGATCCGAGTCGTGTTCATACGGCATTAGTTTACCCTGAGATTCACATACCCACGACTACAGTGCCCTCTATCCGTGACCACCCATTTTGTATTGAAAGCATAGGGCGATAGCAGTCCATGTACTATATGGTCTAAGGTTGCGGTACAATGGGCAATGGCGGCGATCTCAGGTGTCGAGATGTCGGAGCTGTTCGCTTCGGCTCAGCGGTACTCTAAGTTGGCCGGTAGCTGTAAGTTTATCGATTAGCGGGTTTTTATCCGGGAGTTGGTAAGCTATCGATTAATCGGGGTGCGAATGATTGGTACCGCCGGGTTCTATTTCAGGTGAATGACACCAGCACTTCCGAATACTCGGCCCGTCAGTGCGGTATGGTACTTATGCTAGAGGTGGTACACAGGATGTGACACGGCCACGACCCCAGTACACCACGCTCTAGGTTGAAACAAAATCAACGTTCGCAAACTGGGGGAATGCAGGTCGAAGGCCCCACAGTTCCCAGTTTCCGTACGTTGACTCGCTTCGTATCTAAGGTACTGGTGATAGTATGGTAACGAAAAGCAAGATGTGACACGGCCACTACCTCCGCTTAACGTTCACAACCTTACGACTAAATCAAGCAAGCGGGAGCTGGCTACATGCGGGTCACAGGCCCCACAGTTATCGAACTTCCGGGTGTTTGAGGGTTCGTCTTTCAAGGACTGGATGATTTCTAATGAATGGCGAGGTTAAGGGTGCAGGGACAGGTGGGTTAAGGATATAAGCGGAACGGAAACGGTATCGAATGCAAACGGGAAATCGGATGAATGATTATCAGTTTTAGGTCTGGATTCAGGTTTTCGGTCATCAAATGACAGGATAGAAGTGTCTTCTAAAATCAAGGGATCCTCCTTTTATACAGCCATGATTAGACTACGACTAGGAAGTGGAAATGACACTTGGTTAGGTTATCATTTATGATTAGCTAGCGACATCTATTGATGTCAATGTAGTGCATTTGTAAAGGAGCGTTTACACGCTCCATAAATAAAGGCACGGGTACATTGTTACCTTACACGGAATTGAATTAAAGGCATTTTGCACATCTAGTGAGGCAATAATTGCTACCTCCCTGGTGTGTCTGGTACCGCTCATGGCGTTTTTGGTAGTGTTCTTAATCCGGCCCAGTGCCTCTCCCTTTTCTAAATCCGAACTGGCTTTCCGATAAATTTGCATATGGCGCTATTCTTCCTGCCAGTACTCTCTCCATCAGCTTTCCCAAGTGGCTTACCAGAGAGATTGGTCTCACCGATCCCGGTTCCTTTTTTGGTATACGTACTACGTTCGCCTCTTTCCACTTCGCTGGGTACTCTCCCGTGGACATAACCTCATTAAACCCCTTTGTACACCATTCCGGTCTCGCTCCTGCCACTCTGCTAACCAGCTCCGGTGGCAGCCCATCCGGGCCGGGTGCTTTCTTCTTTGGCATTTTTTTAACGGCGTCCCTTATTTCCTGAACGGTGACTTTACGGGGGGTTTCTTCTTCTAGTTTCGTGTCCCATGCTTTCCATTCCGTGTCTTTATTTTGTAGCGGGAATAACCTATCTGTTTTTGCGATAATATCAGCGTCTGTACCGACTACCTTTGTTGTAAATTGCTGGACATATATCAGGGTTGTAAAAAACAAAAGAGAGTGGAAATACGCATTTTTTAGTAGTTATGTCAATTTAATTGTATCGTGAAAAGAAATAAAAAACCCAAAAGAAAACGGGTAGTTTTCATCAAGCTTTGTTAACATTTTATGGCGACCGTGACAGGACACCGGGTTTGAGTGTTTTGGTTACGATATTTGTGTAAAATTGACATTTTAGTGGTGCGTTCGATTTCCGCGAAAAATGGAGCAACAAAGGCGATACCGCGACGTATGTCGTGATAGTTTTATGCGGGCCACCGACAAGCTACGGGGGTTATTAACGAAAACTCCTATAGATAGTGTTGCGTTGAAGGTGGCGGTTGAAATGCTGCGGCTTAAGCATTCAACTTTACAAAAAGCCGACGATGAAATAACAACGCTGTTGATGGGTGAGGCGGCCGACAGAGACGTCCTGGGAGCCGAACAAGCTACTTGCGCAGAATTCATGGAACAGTTCCTTGAGTTACAGCAGCAGGTGAGCGACCTAACCTCCAAGCCATCGACAGCAGCCGTTCCTTCCAGTGGCATCGGTAACAATGGGGTAAATCTTTACAACATACAAGGTAGGAGATTTATTACCGAAAGATTTTAAAAAATTTGATGGGAACGTGCGTGAATGGCTCGCGTTTTGGGCACAATTTGTGAAAATTCATCATCATACAGAACTCGATGAAATCGATAAAATTAGTTACTTAATACAAGCCACAGTTGCTGGCAGCCGTGCACGGCAGGTCGTAGAAAGCTACCCTGTGATGGCCGGTAACTATTCAAAAATTATAGACTCGTTAAAATCGCGGTACGGTCGAGAGGACTTGTTAATCGAAGTTTATGTACGCGAATTGTTGAAGTTGATTATTCAGAACGCGACTTCGACGCGAGAAATTGACTTAGTATCTCTCTACGATAAATTGGAAACTCAGTTGAGAGCGCTGGAGACGCTAGGCGTAACCACCGAGAAGTGCGCAGCAATGTTATTCCCACTTATTGAGTCGTGCTTGCCAGAGGAACTTCTTAGAGTGTGGCAAAAGGGCCGCGAACGCGTCTATAGCAAATTTATCAGATGCAATTCAGCGTGAAGAGATAAAACCTGCTAGGCGTTTAGCCAATTTAATGGCCTTCCTAAAAAGAGAAGTAGAGGGCGAGGAGCGCATTGCACTCGCTGCTGAGGGTTTTGGTATCTCTTCGGGAAGGAAAGCTAGCGTACGTAAACAATCCGGGAATGACTCGTACTGTAGATTAAGTCCTACGTTTAAGAAAAAGGTAATATCGCAAAACGCTGAACCGATAGCGACAGCCGCGGGGTTAGTAGTCCAAGATGGTTTGAGCTGTGTTTTTTGCGATAAAAATCACGAAAGTACAATGTGTGTTAAAGATCAAAATTTTTCGCTAGAACAGCGCAAAGATATAGTAAAAAAGAAAGGGGCATGTTTTCGATGCCTGCGAGGTGGTCATAGCGTCAAGAGATGCCGCGCCACCGTAAAATGCATTATTTGTAAAAAGGAGCACTTACCCTTAATGTGTTCTACATTAACGGATCCGCAAGTAGGATCGAAACCAGAAGCAAATAATGCGCATGACAAATCGAAAGCGGCTAATCTACCTGAGAAAGCCAAATCTGAGGATCTCGCGAATTTCACGTCAAGCCACGTTTTTCTGCAAACTTTTAGAGTCAATATTCGACATAACGGTGGCGAACGTGACGTGCGAGTACTAATCGACAACGGATCTCAAAGATCCTATATACTAAAAAGCACCAGCGACGCGTTAGGTCTTGAAGTAAAAAGACGCGCGACGATAGCGCATGGGTTGTTTGGTGGAACAACAGTAGAACGTAATCATTCTTGTTACGACGTTACGTTGGTAAAGGGAGATTACTCCCGTACAGTAGAGTCCCGTACAGTAGAGGTATTGGATCAACCGACTATTTGTCATCCTATTCCGCCGGTATTTTATGGACCGTGGATTAAGGCTGGACAGTACACCCGTTCCGTTGACCGAAAACGCGTGATTTCGTTCCACGATATCTTAATTCTGAGTGAAGTTGAAGAAGGGGTCGAATATTCCTGTGAAAGGTGAATGCTTTAGCTAGACAATAACGCCGGGGTTTACTAAAATGTTTTAAAATAATCTTTTTTTAAGGGCAACGTCGAGGGCTGTTAGGGTGTCATATTTTGGAAAAGAAAAAAGGAAATAAATTTTCCTGGCGTTATTGCCTAGATATTAAGTTTACGAACGTATCTTAATTTTGGAAATTGTTCCAACTTCATTTATAGATAAGTTATCTTGGAAAAACAACTTAAAAGTTTTTCTAAAAAGCGCGAAAAGATAGCTTCCGCCGCGTGGCTGGTTTTATACAGATAGAAAATGTGCATTATAATTATACTAAGTTTATGTTTTTACCATCGAACACAAATTAATATTATAAATAACCAAATTTGGGGATTGACAATAGGCAACTTTACATACTCCGTTCTGTATGTA